AAAAAAAAGAAAAAAGAAAAAAAAACTAGAAAAGCTGTAGCATAATTAAGAGGTCAGGCTGCTGTGGGCCTAAGACAGTACAAGTTACTTAGCCTCTTTTTGCCTCCACTCCTCATCCTTGATATAGGATATAGTCTCCAGTTCGGAGGGTTGTAACAATTGAATGAATGAATACATGCAGGCTGAGCGCAGTGGCTCATGCCTATAATCCTAGCACTCTGGGACGCTGAGGCAAGTGTATTGCTTGAACTCCACCTGCTTTGGTGGAGTTTAATACCAACCTGAGCAAGAGTGAGACCCCCATCTCCACTAAAAAAAATAGAAAACACTAACTAGGCATAAGTCCCAGCTATTCAGGAGTCTGAGGCAAGAAGATGAGTTGAGCCCAAGATTTTGCTAAGAGCTATGACATCATGGCACTCTACCCAGGGTGACCAAGTGAAACTCTGTCTCAGGAAAAAAAAAAGAATAGATGCAAAACTCTTAGAATCATACTAGGACATAGTACATGCTTAGTAAGTGTTGGCAATTATTAGTATTAATGTGCCCTTTCTTGTCATGTAACGTCCATTGTATGCCTGTGTAAACATAGGTGTTTGGTTTTGTTTGTCTTTTGTTCTTGTATTAAAACTATGTTATTCTATTGCTGTAATACGGTCTGTCTTACTAACCTGATGTTTTGGGTCTCTCTCTTCCTTTCCAATTCTTCACAACTGCCCTAAGCTATTAAATTCCTCAGAAAAATCTGCTTTTAATTGTTATTACATTGGATTTATAGATAAATTTATTTATTTATTTTTGAGACAGAGTCTCATTATGTCACCCTTGGTAGAGAATACTGTGGTGTCCCAGCTCACAGCATCCTCAAACTCTTGGGCTTAGACGATTCTCTTGCCTTAGCTGGGCAAGTAGCTAAGTAGCTGGGACTACAGGTGTCTGCCACAATGCCAGCTATTTTTTTGCTACAGTTGTTTAGTTGGCCCGGGCTGGGTTCAAACCCACCAGCCTCAGTGTTCATGGCCAGCGCCATAACCACTGTGCTACGGGCACTGAGCCAAGACTACCTTTTTTAGAAAGAAGGTCTTTATAATGGTAAGTCCTGCCAACTGTATTTGGGTGTTCTTTCACATCCTATAGTAGAGCTTTCCATTTTCCTCTTTCTAAAAAAAAGTTAATTCCTGAATATTTAATCATTTTTCCATATGTTTCTTTGTAAATGACATCTTATTATCTTTGTATTTTCGAGTTGATTATTGCTAGTATACATGAACACTATTAATATTTGTATGTTAATCTCATATCTAGCAACATTACTGAACTCTGTTTACTTTCAAAAGTTTATTATTGAGGCTGGGCGCGGTGGCTCACACCTGTAATCGTAGCACACTGGGAGGCTGAGGCGGGTGAATTGCTTGAGCTCAGGAGTTCAAGACCAGCCTGAGCAAAAGTGAGACCCCATCTCTACTAAAAATAGAAAAACTGAGGCAAGAGAATCACTGAGCCTAAGAGGTGGAAGTTGCTGTGAGCTATGATACCACAGCACTCCACCCAGGGCAACAGCTTGAGACTCTTGTCTCAAAAAAAAAAAAAAAAAAGTTTATTATTACCACCATGCCCTTACCAACTGTACTAACCAGCTACCCAAGTTTGTCTATTGATTTGCTTGTGTTCCCTGAGTAAACGTTCACATTATCTGCAAATAATGACAATTAAATCTCTTTAATTCTTTTACTTTATTCCTTTTTCTTGCTATATTGCTTTAGCCAAGACCTTAAAATCTTTGATATAATGGGCATTCTGGTCTTGTTTGTGACCATAATAAGGATGTGGCAAAGTTTATTCATTAACCATGTTTTTGCTGTAGGTTTTTGGTAAACAGCCAGTTTATCAATTTGAAAATTTCCTTTTTATCCCTCGTCTATTCTGAGCACACCATCTTAAGCATTTGTAAACCATTCTTTCTGCATAGCCTGAACCCTCTAAAAGACAATGTGGATAAGCTTGATAACTGCTCTCTAAGGCTTAACTACCTACTTGGGCCTCTCTCTGCTTCTCCAATTCCTCTTTAGGCCTAGGTTAGATCTGCAGTTTCTCCAGCGGTTCCTGCAGATACAGAAGGTTTTATTTCCCTCTTGGTCATCACAAAATGCCTTGATGTTCCTGACCCTTTTGTGTGTGACCCTACTGGGTGAGTAGCCAGGCTTTGGAGGGAGGGAAGCTCTACTTTTGGGTCCTTTCCCTCTCTCTGGCGTATTGACGAGGCAGGGACTCCTTTTTATCCCTCATCACTGATTTCTTATTCCTCTCCTTCCTTCCAGAACAATTGGTAATCTATCAGGTTGGCTTGATTCCCAGCCAGTACTATGGGGTCCTGGGAAACAAAGACTTGGATGGATTTAAGAATCTGACATTCCTGGCTGTCATGTTCATCGTTCTCAACTCCATGGTAAGGTCTCCTCTCCGTGTGTCTCTCTCCCTCTCCAGTCTAGTAAAAGTAAAATTCCCAGTGGGTCTTAGCCTCCAGGAAGCAGGAACCAAGTTGTAGGTATGTGTTTCCTCCCTTTTCCAGGAATTAAAGGGATGGTTGCCCTGAAGATCAGAACTCTAGGCAGGGCACTGCTTTTGCCATTGGTCTACTTGGGACCGATTCCTCAGATGTTCCAAGCTCAATGTTCTAAGCTCCTTAGGCCACAAGGTTCTGGCTTAATTCCACTTAATTTAGCAGAAATGATCAGGGTCCTTTCCGTTCCTAGAACTCTGACTTCATTAGTTAAATACAGAGAAAAGTGTTCTGACCTTACTTCATGGAGATCAGAACACTTTGAAACTGGACTCAGCTTGGCGCCTGTGGCTCAAGCGGCTAAAGCGCCAGCCACATACACCTAAGGTGGCGGGTTCGAATCCCCAGCCCGGGCCCACCAAACAACAACGATGGCTGCAACCAAAAAATGGCCAGGCGTTGTGGCGGGCACCTGTAGTCCCGGCTACTTGGGAGGCTGAGGCAGGAGACTCTCTTGAGCCCAGGAGTTGGAGGTTGCTGTGAGTATGATGCCACAGCACTCTACCCAGGGGGACAGCTTGAGGCTCTGTCTCAAAAAAAAAAAAAAAAAAAAGAAACTGGACTCAAAGCCAGGCTCTGTGGTGCATGCCTGTAGACCCAGCTACTCAGGAGACCGAGGTGGGAGGATTGCTTCAGCCCAGGAATTTGAGTCCAGCCTGGGCAACATAGCAAGATCTCATCTCTTAAAACAAACAGACAAAAACTGGGATCAGCAGTCAGAACTGCTGTTCACCCCTCTGGGGGCTAAGGCTGTGACTGTTCCTGGTACCATGTCACACCACGCAGCTTTTGCAACTGCTGTTCTTTTTGCAGAATGACCTTTCTCCATCCTTCATTCAATATGCTAAAACCTCATGTTTTAAGATGTCTCCATAGTCATCTCTTTCATGTCCTCCTCAGCTTTCTCCTTCATGTTTCCTCCACCGTATTCTGTGTTTTCTCTGTATTTAACTAATTCCTTGAGTTTACCTCTCCTATAACACTTCTCACACCCTTGTTTCCTGACAATACTTTGAGCTTATTGTTTACGTAGGTGCTCTGGAAATGGTAAATGATGAGATGCAGGGCGCTGCCAGAACTCTTGCCTAATGCTGTCTATCAGGCTGTACTGTCTGTTTTCTAGGGGAAGCCACTTTCTGTCATACATGCCTCTTCTGTTGGATCTTCAGTCAGTAAACACCTATGTATACAGAACCCAGTTCCAAGCTTAGAGGACAGAGGAGTAAGAATATAAATGGAGGCTCGGCGCCTGTAGCACAGTGGTTACAGCGCTGGCCACACGAACCACGGCTGGCAGCTTTGAACCTGGACTGGGCCAACTAAACAACAATGACGACTACAACAAAAAAATAGCTGGGCATTGTGGCAGGCGACTATAGTTCCAGCTACCTGGGAGACTGAGGCAAGAGAATTGCTTAAGCCCGCGAGTTTGAGGTTGCTGTGAGCTATGATGCCATGGCACTCTGCCGAGGGCAACATAGTGAAACTCTGTCTCAAAAACAAAACAAAACAAAAAAGAATATAAGTGGAGTAGGTGGTCTCCCAACTTCTAGAAGCTCATCTGCTCTCGGAATAAGACAGTACAATATAGAAAAGGGCATGAGGGTCTTGCCTTGGAAAGCCCTCTACTATTTGGTGTGAAGGAATGAATATGTGAGTGAATGTGGAAGGAAAAATTCCATGACTTGACACTTTAAATAAGGAAAGTGCTGATGTGACTCAAGGAACATCATTTAAAAAATATGAAAGTGCTGAGTGGACAGAGTAATCAGAGTCAGTGGACTGGGGCTGGTCAGCAGAGGCTTCCTGTCAGCTCTGAGCTTTGAACCAAGATTTTCAGGAAACCGTCTCTCCCCTCCCTTCTCCTCTCCTCTCCTCTCCCCCACGGCACAGCTGAAGAGCTTTGACCAGTTCACCTGCAACCTGCTGTATGTGAGCTGGAGGAAGGACCTCACCCAGCACCTCCACCGCCTCTACTTCCGGGGCCGCGTGTACTACACCCTCAACGTGCTGCGCGATGACATCGATAACCCGTAGGTACCCCCTTCTTCGTCCTCACTGCCCTCTGTGTGGTCCTTTGCATCTGGCTTAGCCCTGGAGGGTCCTGGCAGCAGATCCCATGGAGATCATCTAATGGTTGTTTGTACATGTTTCTGCCCAGAGCTGTGGGGGAGGGTATTTTACAGAGGACCCCTAGAGAGGCTGCGGGGCTGAGAATAGGGAGCTAAAAAGAAGAGGCCTGCCAGGAACATTGGCAGGCTCCTGTAGTCCCAACACCTCAGGAGGCTGAGCAAGAGGATCACATGAACCCAAGAGTAATACTCCAGTTGCTCCTGTAAGTAGCCACTTTATTCCAGCCTGGGCAACATAGCAACCATCTCTTTTTGAAAATAAAAAGAGGCCAGGAGCATCTTTATGTTGTGGGCTTCCAAATAAGGTACCCTCTAGTATCCTTGCTAGAAAACCAGCTCTTAGATTTCAGCAGTAAAGAAATTAGTACTGATCTGGGACTTAATCTAGGATTTAAGTCCCCCTTCTAGCACTTCCTAATTTATAGCTTTTTTTTTTTTTTTAATAGAGACAGAGTCTTACTTTGTCACCCTTGGTAGAGTGCTGTGTTGTCAGAGCTCACAGCAATCTCCAGCTCTTGGGCTTAAGTAATTCTCTTACCTCAGCTTCCCGAGTAGCTGGGACTACAGGTGCCCGCCACAGTGCTCGGCTATTTTTTGTTACAGTTTGGCTGGGGCTGAGTTTGAACCCACCACCCTCGATATGTGGGGCCAGTGCCCTACTCACTGAGCTGCAGGCGCCGCCCATTTTTTTTTTTTTTTAAGACAGTTTCACTTTGCTGCCCTTGGTAGAGAGCTATGGCATCATAGCTCACAGCAACTTCAAACTCTTGAGCTCAAGTGATCCTCTTGCCTCAGCCTCCTGAGTAGCTGGGACTACAGGTGCCCACCACAACCCCCAGCTATTTTAAGAGACAGCATCTTGCCCTTGCTCAGGCTGGTCTTAAACTCCTAAGCTCAGGCAATCCATCCTCCTCAGCCTCCCAGAGCGCTAGGATAGTTTGTAACTCTTAAATTCACTAAGCCCCAGGTTCCCTTCTGTAAAATGGGGATGATAGCAGTTCCTGTCTCAAAGGATGTAGTGCGGATGAAAGGAACCATTCATGTAGTTCACGTGTGCGATGCTGGACACACTGCAAGTGTTCCAGTGTGAGTTAGCTGTTGCTTTACAGGTGAGGAACTGGGGCCAAAAGATTGCAAGTGACTTGCCCAAGGTCATGTCCCCCTGGGACTAGGAATCACTGTGGCCCTAGTGGTAAGATGGGACATGTGGGGTCTCTCCCTACTCACAACCCTCACAGCAAGCATTTTGCTCCCTGGTGATCTTTCCTCAGCTGAAGCAGAGCATCACAGCAACATTCGTAGTAGGCAGCGGCTGCTGCTTTGCTTTTAGGCCTCATCCCGGTGGCCCAGCCTCCATGAAGCCTTCACAGCCAGGTCTCTAACTTGGGGCCAGGGCCAGGCTCCTGTAAGAGGAATTGGGGAAGATTTAGATAAAGGAGACAATTTTCCTGATGATCTAAGAAGGCAGCTTAACTACGATCAAGGTATTTTTTTGGCTCTGCCCAGAGCTGCCTCAGGCCCCTGGATGTTGGACCTGTCAGTTCCCACTCCTGAGGGGTAAACTGTGGCACTATAAGATGCAACTCTAGAACCCTGTTTAAAGGCCACCAGGGTCAGCCAGGAGCAGTGGCTCACGCCTGTAATCCTAACACTCTGGGAAGCTGAGGCAGGTGGATTGCTTGAGCTCAGGAGTTTAAGACCAGCCTGAGCAAGAGCAATGCCCTATATCTACTAAAAATAGGAAAATTAGTCAGGCATGCACCTGTAATCCCAGCTACTGGGGAGGCTGAGGCAAGATGATTGCCTGACCCCTAGAGACTGAGGTTGCTGTGAGCTAGGCTGATGCCCCAGCACTCTACCCAGGGTCACAGTCACAAAGTAAGACTGCTTAAAAAAAAAAAAAATGACCACTTGGAGACCAGCTTACCTGGTTCCATTTCCCTACAGAGTCATTGCTAATAGCACTGAGAGGCCAGGTCAGGAAAGAGGTGATGTGGAACTGCCTTGACTCTCTCCACCTTTGAGCCTACCTCCCTGGCTCCAGCCACTCTGTGTCATTGGGTGCAGGGACCAACGCATCAGCCAGGATGTGGAGCGATTCTGCCGGCAGCTCAGCAGCATGGCCAGCAACCTGATCATCTCCCCCTTCACCCTGGTTTACTACACTTACCAGTGCTTCCAGAGGTGAGGTCTCTCCTCTGCCCATCATTCCTTTTCCTCCCCATCCTGGTGTCCTCAGAGGTCCTTCAGTCAGCTCTCCCAGGTCAAGGTCCAGGAGAGCTTGGCTTCCTTCTCCCTCCTTGCCTTAAGGAGTCTCTCTATCACACATGCTCAGGCTCCCACCCTCCCCTTGTTGCCTCAGTATCACAGGTATCCTGGCAATCTGACAGTTCATACCAGCTATCCATGTAGGAGCAGAGGACCTATGGGAATGCTGGACTGGACAGGGGCTACCTGAGAGGGGGCTGGAGTCGGGGCTGAGGCCTGTGGGGATGGCAGCCCCTACACCCTTCCTGCCTTTCTCTGCCTTTCAGTACAGGCTGGCTTGGGCCCTTGAGCATCTTCGGGTATTTCCTCCTGGGAACCATGGTGAACAAAACCTTGATGGGGCCCATTGTGGCGAAGCTGGTACAGCAGGAGAAGCTGGAGGGGGATTTTAGGTGTGTTTCTCTTGATTGAGGTTTCTGGGCTGGGCAGTATGGGGTCTGGATCCCGGCTATGCCAGTTACCAGCTATAGGATATTGGGCAAGGATGTTAAATTCTCTAAGCTTCATTTTCTCATTTCTAAAGTGGGGATGGTGCTATTGCCTACTGAGAGAATTATGAGGAATAATGATATCACGCACAGGAAGGGCCGTGAACAGTGTCTGGTTAGCCATCATTCTCATGCCTCAGCCTTCTCACACCCTCTGGTCTAACTACCCTGGCTCAGGTCAGTTGGGCCTGGCAGCAGAAAGTTCCAGCCCCTACTCCGAGCTTTCTGACTCTGTCCTTCAGGGCAGGCCCTGGGAGGAGGAGGTATGTGAGCAGGAACACACCTGACCTCTCTACAGAAGGCTGAGGGGCTGCCCTGTCTCTGCAGATCTCCAGTCCCACCTGGGCCTGGGGATTCCCCACCTCTATGAGAGTCAGGGAAGGGTCAGCCCAAGGTACCACAGCTTTGAGGTGGAGATGGGCTCCACTTTGGGGCCTCTTCTTGATCCAGGGCTCTGACAAAAGGGGACTGACGATTCCCCATCGTCAGCACACATTTCTCTTTGGTCTACCCAGGTTCAAGCACATGCAGATTCGGGTGAATGCCGAGCCTGCTGCTTTCTACAGGTGAGTCTGGAGGACGTAGTTCTCCTCTGCCTTGCCAGAGCTGATAGAGGAAGAGGGAAGATGACTTTATAGCCCTCCCACCACCACTGAGCCCAGGGGCCAAGTGTCGTTACACTTGGCTGTGACCATCTCCCTGAACCTCTCACTGCCCTTGTCTACCTCATCCTTAGGTCCAGGGTTTTGCTTCTGAAGCAGCTTTAGTCTTAGTGGTCTGGCATGGAGCCTGAAACTGTCAAAGGGCAAAAAAGTGAATGTTTCATCATCCTGCCGATGACTACAAGGCATTATCTCTGCTTCAGTTTTCTGTCTGTTAAATACCTTTCTTGTCATAATCTAATGTCTAAAGCTGATCTTGTGTCTGTAGCATGAGAGGGAATGGGAGCCTCTCAGAAGATCAGCAGACCCATTCCCCACAGACACTGTTAGTGTAGGTATCTGGTCTTTCATGTTCTTTCCACAGCCTTGTGAAATCCCATCCCTTCCCTCCAGGACCAGACAGGTCCCTATATTCTGCCTTATGTGTGGCCGAGTCCCCAGAGAGTCACGTCTAAGAAGTGGAAGTTGTTCCTTGCATCCCCTGTACTTGGGGGGGATCTAATAGCAATAGGACCTTTACACTCTGCCCCCTCTGCTGCAGTTTGCAGCCTTTACCAATCAGGGGCACCAAAAACACCAGGAAACTGCTCTGGGGTTGGGTTGTGGGATGAGCAGAGCATGGGTGTGGTAAGGTGGCCTTTGGATTCTGCAGCCTGGCCTCATGAAGATCTGTGCTCTGGGGAAGGTGGGTTAGTTATTAGAGCTCCAAATGGGTTCTGTGGTCTTCTGTGCAAAATCTAAAATGTCCCCTCTCTCCTCTCATCACCATTTCTGCCTGGAGAATTTCTGCCCATCCTTGAAACCCCAAGTCACCGCCTCTGGGTAGCCTTCCCAGACTCTGTTAGTGGTCAAGCCTATTTGTTGCCATAGTCCTGAGGATAATGTAACGCTCCATATTCTAGGTGAAGAGTGCAGTGTGCCTGCCTGCCTGGGAGCTCCTCAGGAGCAGAGATTATTTTATCTGCCTCTTTATTGCACTAGCCACTGGCCCATAGGGACTGCTCCATGTATATTTATGAGGGCCCCTAGCATCTGGTACTCTATATTCAGAAACTCTTAATTCTGTCATCTATTACATAGGTATTGTTAGCTCCATTTTATGGGTGAAAAAACTGAGACTCAGAGGCTTATATGACCTGCCTGTGTCACCTGCCTAATACCTGGCCAGAGCCAGGCTTTGAACGAGGCCCATCCAAATCTAGAGTTCATGTTCTTTCCACGGACAATACCTTATGGAGGAGTGGCTGCTAGTGGCAGACAGGGTCTGCAGGCTAGATCATTTGGGTGGGCTTGGTCCCTAAAGGAAGGGCGACCCTAAAGGAAGCCAGACCCAGTCTGGCTGACCCTCTCCAGGCCCTATGGACATCTTGGCCTTTGTTATCAGAGCTGGGCACGTGGAGCACATGAGGACAGACTGCAGGCTGCAGAGACTTCTCCAGACCCAGAGGGAGCTGATATCCAGGGAACTCTGGCTGTACAGTAGGCAGAGGGGCCCCAGGAGGTGGGGACCAAGGGTCGGAATGGCTCACTTCCCTTCCCACATCTCTCTACTTTGTGCCATGCTGATAAATCTGCGTAATGAAGGAGTTAACTAGGGGAGCTATTAAGCACTTGAGCTGTTGTCTCAAGTGTCCTCAGGAGAGTGAGGATCCAGGGACAGTGTGGCATGGGCTTGCTTGGTGTCCTGCTGCCCACCTTGAGGGTGGTGTCCCCCGTGGAGCACATGAATGGTTCTGGATCTCATGCAGTTTGTCTTCCACAGTCGGTGTCAACACCTTTGACTATCTGGGCAGCATCCTGAGTTACATTGTCATTGCGATCCCCATTTTCAGTGGGGTCTATGGAGACCTGAGTCCCACAGAACTTAGCACATTGGTCAGCAAGGTGAGAGTCCCTCTAGTGAGCCCTCCTGCAGTCCCCTCTGTCTCTGGCCCAGCTGCTGGGGCCCTGGGGTCAAAGCCTGCATGACTGCTTTCCATTCCTGCAGAATGCCTTTGTGTGCATCTACCTCATCAGCTGCTTCACCCGCCTCATTGACCTCTCCACCATACTCTCGGACGTGGCTGGTTACACGCACAGGTGAGGCTGAGCAAAGTGTGTGCTGCTGGAAGATGTGGCTGAGTGAATTAAAGGGGGATGGGGCAGGAACTCACTGCATATTAGTGGGTGTGAGATAGAAAAAGGAGTTTTGCCTTTACCTGGGCCCCCCCGGCCTTGCTTCAGGTTTTCACTTGTTGTCCAGGATTGGGGAGCTTCAGGAGACCCTGCTGGACATGTCCTTGAAGTCACAGGACTGCGAGATCCTGGGCGAGAGCGAGTGGGGCTTAGACAAGTGAGTAGTGGGCTAGCAGGGCGGTGCAGTGGATGAGGATGCAGGCTCTGAATCACCCAGCATGGGTGCACCCAGGAGCCCTGCCATTTCCCTCAGGGTAGCAGAGCTGAAGGGAGTAAGTGGAAAACACCTACCTCCCATGCCAGACATAATACAAGAATTCACAGTGTCAGTGCACTAGCATTTACATCATTCCCCCACTAATGGAAGCAAAGTACACACACCTTCTGTCTGGACACAGAAAACAAAACAAAAATCTGAATAGTGACTCTCCTCCTCCATTCCTTCTTCTTCCCATTGAGCCCTGCTGCCTAGGCCTGTCCTTGGGCATGTGTGGCTCAGACCCTGAGATGTCTTTATTCATGTGTCTTTATGGAACTGGAATGTTCCTGGCCTCCCTGTGCATTTGGGATGTGTTTCATCTCCTTGCTTTTCTTTCTTTCTTTCTTTCTTTTTTTTTTTTGAGACAGATTCACACTATGTCACCCTTGGTAGAGTGCTATGGCATCATAGCTCACAGCAACCTAAAACTCTTGGGCTCAAGCTATTCTCTTGTCTCAGCCTCCCGAGTAGCTGAGACTACAGGTGCCTGCTACAACACATGGCTATTTTTTAGCGACGGGGTCTTGCACTTGCTCAGGCAATCCACCCACCTCGGCCTCCCAGAGTGCCAGAATTACAGGCATGAGCCTCCGCATCCGGCCCTACTTCTATTTCTCCATTTTCTCATGTCTAGAAAAGAGAAATTAATGGAATCTTCCTGTTAGGGTTCTGAGAATTGGGTACCTAGTCTGTGGAAAGTGCTTAGACAGTGGTGTCAGAATAAGCTTTAAAAATGGAATCAGTCTGAATTCCAGGGCCTACCCTCAATTCTCTCTCAGAAACTAATGCCATGGGTGGCACCTGTAGCTCAATGGGTAGGGCACCGGCCACATACACCCAGGCTGGTGGCGGGTTTGAACCCAGCCCAGGCCTGCTAAACAACAATGACAGCTGCTGCAACAACAAAAAAAATAGCTGGGGGTGGCGCCTGTGGCTTAAAGGAGTAGGGCACCGGCCCCATATGCCGGAGGTGGCAGGTTCAAACCTAGCCCCGGCCAAAAACTGCAAAAAAAAATAAAATAAAATAACCGAGAATGTTGTGGCAGGTGCCTATAGTCCCAGCTACTTGGGAGACTGAGGCAAGAGAACGGCTTAAGCCCAAGAGTTTGAGGTTGCTGTGAGCTGTGACACTGTGGCACTCTACCGAGGGAGACATAATGAGACTATGTCTCAGAAAAAAAATTTTAAAAAGAAACTAATGCCTTAATTGTCATCACCTCTGTTCAGAGTTCCATGTGCCAGTGAACTAGTGAACCTGTGAGCCGAGGTGCTGGAATAGAAGGTGCAGAGACTGTAGGAAACTGGAGTTGCTTTTCTGTGGGGAAGACAGGCATCCCTAGAGAGCCAGAAACTCTCTCAGTGGGAGAGTATTAACCTCTCTTCTCCCATTTGTATTAGTAGTACTACTGTCACACCATGTTGTCCTTGAAAACCCACCACCAATAAAATCAGGCAAATTCAACTCTATAACCTAGGCGGTTATTTAGGCACCTGACTCTGCCTCATCTGCCAAGTGAGGGTAGTCTTTGGATTCATTAATGTTAAGACTGATTAAGATAAGTCATGCATGGGACTGTGTCCTGCTGGGGACATAGTATATGCTCCCATACCCACCCCATGTTAATGTGCTCAGGCTGCCAGGACAAAATACCACAGGCTGGGTCCCTTAAACAACAGGAAATTATCTGCTCACAGTTCTAGAGGCTAAAAGTCCAAGGTCAAGTTGTGATCAGGATTAGTTTCTTCTGAGGCCTCTCCCTTGGCTTGGAGACAGCCACCCTCACATGGCCTCTTCTGTATGTGTGCCCTAGGTGTGTCTCTCTTCTTAAAAGGGCACCTATGCTAAGAACCTCATTTAACATCATCTCCTCTTAAAGACCTCGGCATTTTGAAGCACTGGGAGTTAGGACTCGAACATGTGGATTTGGGGGAAACACAAATCAGCCCATAACGACCCTCCAGATTCAGAGGTGATGCCTCCAAGTGGAAGTACCTCCCCCACAACAATGCTGATGCTGCTGCCTTCCCCACCTATCCCTCCCTTCCCAACCCAGGGCCCCAGGGTGGCCAGCAGCACAGCCAGCAGACACGGCTTTCCTCCTTGAGCGGGTCTCCATCTCAGCCCCTTCCTCTGAGAAGCCCTTAATCAAGGATCTGAGTCTGAAGATCTCAGAGGGGCAGAGCCTGCTCATCACGGGCAACACCGGCACTGGCAAGACCTCCCTGCTGCGGGTCCTGGGAGGCCTCTGGGCAAGCACACGGGGTGAGAGCCAGGGCCGCTGTCTCTGACACAGCCCTTGCCCTAGGGATAGGGTGAGGCTGGGGCCACTGGTGGGGAAAGACGAGAGGCAGAGAAAAGAAAAGCCGTTACCTTCTCTGGGAGCTCAAAGTGGATGTCTTTGGGCTCTGCAGGCTCAGTGCAAATGCTGATGGACTTTGGGCCCCATGGGGTTCTTTTCCTGCCACAAAAGCCATTCTTCACTGACGGGACCCTTCGGGAGCAGGTCAGCCTGGTATGGGGGCCCACTTTCCCTCCTCACTCCCACCCACTCATGGCCAGGACTTCTGGCAGTGAGACATTCTTAGGCCTTGGGGAGTTACAGGCCTAAAGAACCTGTTACCCTGGCTCCAAGACCATTTCCTTGAGCACTGAGCCCATGTACTCAGCAACTCAAAATCTGGGGTTGCAGGCCACATAGTACATGGCAGCGGTCTTCAAACTTTTTAAACAGGGGGCCAGTTCACTGTCCCTCAGACCGTTGGAGGGCCGGACTGCAGGCCCGGGGATGAGTTGGCTGCTAAACAGGACAGGCAGTGGCAGCAAAAACACCTGGCGGGACGGATAAATGTCCTAGGTGGGCTGCATGTGGCCCATGGGCCGTAGTTTGAGGACGCCTGGCACATGGGTTTGTGGAGCACTCAGGTTAGATCCTATGGTCCCTGTCCTCAGGAGGCTCCCACACTCTCCCTCCAAACACACTTATAAAGGTTGCAGTGTCCCTGCCCTGCTGTCTGCAGGCTGGGCCTCTCCCACTGGACCCACATGTTTCCTTCTCGGGGGAGGGGAGCCCAGCCTTTCCGTTGGTTCCTGTGGTCTCAGAGGGAGGTAGGCTGTGTGCAGCTCCATCTCAGGCTAGCCTTCCTGAGCCCATGTGGTTTTTGTTTTATCAGGTAATATATCCCCTGAAGGAGATCTACCCGGACTCAGGTGAGCTAGGCTTCTTTGGGTCATGTCCTGTCCTCCCATCTCAGCTGTCCCTGCTGTGCCTGACCATGGCCTCACCTGTGCCCTTTGGGAAAGGCCCTTCCACTGACCTTATGCCCTCTGGGTCTATTACAGGCCCAGGCAGGTTTCAGGTTGGGTCCTCCCTCCTTTGAGTGTTTACTACCTTCACCCTCATCTCTCTCTTTCCTTGGCAAGAGAAGTGATTGCTTCTTCACATGGCCCTTCCCTTATCAAATGCTGTGGCCTGTCACTTGCTCAGCATTCTGGGCCCTCACCCCTGCTGTGAGTGCCCCCATCAATTCTGGCTAGCCAGAGGAGCTGACTTGTCTCTCTGCTTTGCAGGGTCTACAGATGATGAGAGGATCATGAGGTTCTTAGAATTGACAGGCCTGGTAAGTGGGCCCAGGGACCCCAGGACCCAAGCCCACCTGGAAGTACCAACACAGGTGGTGCTGCCCAGCAGAGGTAGGCCCTGCTGTCCCTGGGCCTAGGACTGGAGGTCTGAGCCTAGGGCAGGGAGCAGGCATATAAACTGATGGCGGGAGCTATTGGCAGGGCATTGACAATAACGGGATGTGTTCTCTTTACAGAATTTTAAAACAGTAGTAAAACTAAATCAGTCTGCTTTTTATTGTCACCATGCTCTAGCAAGTTGGAGCAGTGTTGCTAATAGAATATTCTTCTGCCCAGGGCACACTGTCCCCACGATGCCCCAGCTGATTTGCCATTGGGGGGTATATTTGTTTCAAAAGAATGTGTGTATGGTGGGGAGTGAGGGAGGTTCCCCCAGGGTGGCAGGAAGCAGGGAGGGGCCCTTCCACTGACCTTATGCCCTCTGGGTCTATTACAGTCCAGTTTGGTAGCAAGGACAGAGGGCTTGGATGAGCAGGTCGATTGGAACTGGTAAGAATAGGACTTGGGTCAGAGCCAGGTCCTTCATGAAGATAGTAGGTCTAAGGGGTCCTGTCAAAGTGTGGAACAGCTCCTGACCCCAAGTCCATGTGTTTAGCTGGTTCATCAGGCACAAGTTTCATGCCCTTGGGAACAGAGTTGTGCCTCACGCAGGTGCTGTGGGTGTGGTTGAAAGGGAAGAGGCTTCTATCTGCCCCCTTCTTTCTGTCTCTCTGCAAAGAGAACCTCTTCTGCCCAGACCTATTCTAGGCAAAAGCCAAGCTATGTCCTCCTTCCTCCAGTCATCAACTCTGGTTCCCTTTCCTCAGGTATGATGTTCTGTCCCCAGGGGAGATGCAGAGGCTCTCCTTCGCCCGCCTCTTCTACCTGCAGCCAAAGTTCGCAGGTGAGGTCTGTCCCACTGATGCACCTGCCAAGTACCTCGTGTGCTCATAGGTATAGCACACTCACAGGTGCCAGGCTTACCTGTACATGTCTTGGCCTTCCATGTCCCCTACTGGAGAGGACAGCCAGGTCCTGCCCACGAGGAGCAGGGCTTGGCACCCTGGGAGCAGCTCTGGATATGTCGTACTGTCCACCCATAGCGTTGTGTCGTGCAGCGGCTGCTGCCAGGGGGCCTGCCCAGGGAGGGTGGCACACTCTGCTCTGATGTCAAATGCATGGGCACACCACCCCACGGCCCACAAGCTGTGCCTGGCAGAGGATGGAAAGTGTGGACTTCTCCAAAGGCTGACATTCTAGAACTGAGAGTCTCTGGACTGAGCAGTCCCAGGGAGTAGCTGGTACCCTTCTCTAGGGACCTGAGAGGTTTCATCTGGCCAATCACAGGAGTGTTCACAGATGGAGCCTGGCCGGCTGCTGTTCTGGTCTGTCTTCTCCTCAAGGCAGGCTCCTATAAGCAGAGCAGCTTTCAGCCTCCCCAGGGGTCCCAGGTGGGCTGAATGTGGGTGGGAGGAGAAGCTGAGGGTTCCAGGGGCAGGACTTTGATCTCTTCCACCATGTTCCTGCCAGTGCTTGATGAAGCCACCAGTGCCCTGACAGAGGAGGTGGAGAGCGAGCTCTACCGCATGGGCCAGCAGCTGGGAATGACATTCATCAGCGTGGGACATCGGCACAGCCTTGAAAAGGTACCTGTGTGCTCAAGGATGGCCTGAGGAGGAGGAAGAATCCAAAGGCTGGTCTGGCCAGGGCCAGTGGCCCCTCAAAGTGGGGAGCAGGGGTGGCCTGATCTCTGTGTGGTGGTGGCCTCTTGCAGTTTCATTCCTTGGTTCTGAAACTTCATGGAGGAGGAAGATGGGAACTGACCAAGATTAAAATGAAATGAAGTCAAGGATATGGACAACCACTGGAAGGAGAGCTGCACTCCAGGCATGTCGCAGTCCCCAGGGGAGACCAGGAGGACTGACAGCAAGAATCATCCTCAGTGCCAAACAGGGTCACATGGGGCCTACTGCAGGAACTTGGCAGTGGTGGGCTCAGCCCAGGTATGGGCCTCTATGGGAGACACTGAGCCTCAGCCAGAGCCTCTATATATTTGAGATGCCGATTGCTTATAAATTACCTCTAATTATGTGTGCTAAAGAGAAATCAGAAAGTGTGGGGTCTATAAGATAAAAAGTCAGGACAGAAAGAACATTTGACTTGGAGTCAAGAGATTCAGAAATATTTTACTCTTAAATCAGTTAAATTTTGCAGTAATAGGTTTTTTTAACTTCAATTAACCACTTTTATCACTTTTTTAAAAAGAAAATTTAAACATTACGAAAATGTGGGGTTTTGGCGTTTTTCTCTGGCTTTGCTATTATGGAATGATCTTTTTTACTGACTCTCCAGCCTTGTATCTGAGTACTTGGAGGAAGGAGGCAACAGCCTCCACTCTGCTAGAATCTTCTGTCCGTGATCGCTCGCTTCTCACTACATCTCCCTTTCCGCCCTTCCTTCAGTGTGGTGTGGATTAGTACCTGAGCCACTAACCCTAGTGCCCTTCTGTCTTCACCCAGATGGAAAAAATCTCTTTCCACTTCTCAGCTAAAATAAGGCTGGGGCCGGGCATGGTGGCTCGTGCCTGTAATCCTAAAGTAGGTGGATTGCTTGAGCTCAGGAGTTCAAGACCAGCCTGAGCAAGAGCGAGACCTCATCTCTAAAACTAGCTGGGCACTGTGGCAAGCGCCTGTGGTCCCCGCTACAAAGGGCAGCTGAGGCAAAGAGAATCACTTGAGCCTAAGAGTTTAAGATTATCGTGAGCTAGTATGCCATAGCACTCTACCCAAGTAACAGAGTAAGACTGTGTCTCTAAATAAATAAATGAATAGTTGGGATTTTTCTAAAAATAATTACATTAGGGAACAATAACAGATTAAACAAAGCCCAGAAAGCACAAAACATGAGGGGAAAGTTACTACACCCAAACTTCTTGCTCCACAGCAATGTCCCCTGAAGTTCACTTGTCTACACATTATCTTCATGATTTTTTTTTTAAGAGACAGAGCCTCACTTTGTCGCCCTAGGTAGGGTGCCATGGCATCACAGCTCAGAGCAACCTCCAACTCCTGGGCTTAAGCGATTCTCTTGCCTCAGCCTCCTGAGTAGCTGGGACTATAGGCACCCGCCACAACGCCTGGCTATTTTTCTGTTGCAGTTTGTCTGGGGCTGGGTTCCAACCCGCCACCCTCCACATATGGGGCCGGTGCCCTACCCACTGAGCCACAGGCGCCACCCCATCTTCGTGATTTTTGCCAGGTTTGTATACTTAAAACACTGTTAGTTCTTAACCATTTTAAAACACTAGCTCACCATTTTATTTTATATATTTTTTATTTAATTATTTATTTATTTTTAATTTAGACAGTCTCACTTTACTGCCCTTGGTAGAGTGCCATAGCATCACAGCTCACAGCAACCTCAAACTCTTATGCTCAAGCGATCCTCTGGCCTTAGCCTCCCAAGTAGCTGTGATTAAGGTTTCGAACTCCTGAGCTCAGGCAATCCATTCGCCTCAGCCTCCCACAGTGCTAGGATTACAGGCGTGAGCCACCACACCAGGCCTTAACTCACCTTTTTAATTTAAATACATGTTTTAGAAAAATTTTTATACTTAAATGCAAAGTAACTATAAAAATAAATATTAATACAGTGAAAACCAAACAGTGTTATTAAACAGCAACTAGATGCAATTGCCTGCAAAGACTCTGAAGCTTGCTCTCTTTGTAAAAAAGGGAGGTTGGGAGATGTGAGAGAGGAATTAGGCATTGGAGCACCCAAATGGGTTTGTTCTCCTTAATAGAAGTGGAAAGATGGAATGAGAATTGTACTTCTCACTGCAAGATTTGAGTTCATTTAATGCCTTCTTCGTACCACTTAAAAGGCTTACTTTATCCTTACCAACTTCTTCAACCTCTTAAACCTTTTTCACAAGTGCTGGTACTGGCAGATTATTTTAAAGATCAATTTCCTTCCCAACTCAGGTTCTTTTTTTTTTTTGAGACGGAGCCTCAAGCTGTCCCCCTGGGTGGAGTGCCGTGGCATCACACTCACAGCAACCTCCAACTCCTGGGCTCAAGCGAGTCTCCTGCCTCAGCCTCCCAAGTAGCTGGGACTACAGGCGCCCGCCACAACGCCCGGCCATTTTTTGGTTGTAGCCATCGTTGTTTGGCGGGCCCGGGCTGGGGATTCAAACCCACCACCTTAGGTGTATGTGGCTGGTGCCTTAGCCGCTTGAGCCACAGGCACCGAGCCCCAACTCAGGTTCTTTGCATCTTTTACTTCCTCTACCTCTAACCGGTTCCCAGTGCTGTATCTGATCTATACACTCAGCCTTCTCCCTCACAGGAACTGCCAGAGAAAGCTGCTCTCAGGGCAGACTCTGCACCTGTATTCTTCACTCATTTCAGAAATGGAGGCTACTGAGAGTTTTAGATGAGTCGATTAAACCTGCATGAAGGAAATCAGGTTTTGTGCCCTTCACGGTTCAAGGACAGGTTCAAGGTTGCTAAATATATCATGTATCAGTCAGGCAAGTAATTTTCCAAATTTAAGTCCCATTCTGCCACCCAGGGAACTACCCAGACCCACATGGATAAGGCATAGGAATGTCAGTTTATGTCCCCCTATTGCTCTTCTGGAAGACCCTGGGCTGCGGGACAGGGTGAAAGGCCCTCTTTTGTTATCTTCATCCACTTCTGCTTGCCATGTCAGCTTGCGTATAGTAAAGTAGTACAGACACCTAGGACCCAACGTTTCCAAAACTGCATGTAAGAGCTTTCCCAAAGCTTCTGTAGTGTCTCCTCTGACAGTGAGTAGCACCTCTGTTCATCTGGGTGGTCAGAACTGGCCTCATCCTTGGAGCCCCCAGCCCCTATCCATTACATCACTGTGTACGGTTGATTTGACCCTGAAAATAGATCTTCCAGGCAATTGCAAAAATAACAAAAATAAACAAATGGAACTAAATAAACTGAAAAGCTTCTTCACAGCTAAAGACACAACAATTAAAGCAAATAACCTTCAGAATCAGAAAAGATATTTACATGTTATGAATCTGACAAAGGGGTTGATAACTAGAATCTACAGAGAACTCAAATTAATCAACAAAAAAAGACCAAACAGTCCCATCTATCACTGGCAACCCACATGAACAGAGCCTTCTCTGAGGAATACAGACGAATGGCTAACAAACATATGAAAAAATGCTCATTGTCTTTGATTGTCAGAGAAATGTAAATCAAAACCACCCTGAGATATCACCTAACCCCAGTGAGAATAACCCACATCACAAAGTCCCAAACTTGGCAGATGCTGGCATGGGTATTGAGAGAGACACTTCCACTATTGGTGGGCCAGTAAACTAATACAAGCTCCTTTAAAAGAAATATGGAGAATCCTTAAATTAGACCTCCCATTTGATACCACAAACCCATTACTAGACATTGCCCCCCCCAATCATTTTATCATAAGGACATTGGCACTAGATTTTTTTTGTGGCTCAATTTACAACCACCAAAATGTGGAAACAGCCTAAATGCCCATCAACCCAGGAATGGATTAAGAAACTGTGGTATATGTATACCATGGAATACTATTCAGCCATAAAAATGATATAGTGTTTTTTATATATAAAGCAATACTCTACATCTTTTGTATTAAACTGGGTGGAATTGAAACATATTCTTCTTAGTAAATTATCACAAGAATGGAAAAGCAAATATCCAATGTACTCAGTACTAACATGACGCCAGTAGACGAACTGATACGTGCCCACACAAGAGAAAAACTCAAATCAATTCAAGGTGGTGGGAGGGGAAAGGAGGGAGGGAGGAGAGGGGAGAGGATTTGTGTGCTCCCACTTAATGGGCACAGTGTTAGGGTATATGGCATACCTTTTGGGTGGGAGACACAAATATAAGAGGGACTCTACCTAACAAATGCAAATACATGTGTATATGTCTGGTGCCATAACCACTGTGCCACAGGCACTGAGCCAAGTTGTCTTTTTCTTATTGAGACAGTGTCTCTGTCTCTTACCTAGGCTAGAGTGCAGTGGCATCATCATAGCTTACTGCAACTTCAAACTCCTGGGCTCAAGCAATCCTCCTCCTTCATCCTCCCCAAGTAGCTGCAACTACAGGCATGCTCCACCAGGCCCAGCTAATTTTTAAAATATTTTTTGTAGAGATGGGGTTTCACTATATTGCCCAGCCTAGTCTGAAACTCCTGGCCTCACGAAATCCTCCCACCTTGGCCTCCCAAAGTGCTGAGATTACAGTTGTGAGCCACCATACCTAGTCTTTTTCCTTTTTTTAAAAGAGTCTCAGTTTGTTACCCTTAGAGTGCTGTGATATCACAGCTCACAGCAACCTCAAACTCTTGGGCTTAAACAATACCCTTGCCTCTACCTTCCAAGTGGCTGGGACTATAGTCACCTTCCACAATATCCAGCTGTTTCTTTTTAGAAATGAGGTCTCACTCTGACTCAGGCTGGTCTTGAACTTATGAGCTCAGGCAATCCACCTGCCTCAGCCTCCCAGAGTACTGGGATTACAGGTGTAAGCCATTGCCCCCAGCTTTCCCAGTCTTTTTCTGGATGCAGTGTTTCCATCATTGCTGTAAACCTTTGATTATTTTCCAAAACCCTGACAGTTCGTTTAAGGCAAGTGTGTAACAAAGCTTGTTGAGGAAGAAAAAGCTAAGTTTACAGAGTAAGAGCAAGATACAGGCTTACAGAGCAAGATATGTTCACCCTTGACAGCAAAGGGGGCTCCATTGCCAGGATGAATAGGCAAAGAGGCCCAGAATTCTGACAAAATTGGTTCTGATGGTTTCTGCTTGTATTTTAATGTTTTTGTGGGTGGATGGGTGTTTGGAGCTACCTATGTACCTTGTTTCCTAAGTATCACTACTACCTGTGAACTAGGATTTCCGGTATCCCTGCACTTTTTTTTTTTTTTTTTTTTTTTGCCAGAAATGGCCTAGAAGGCCACCGCGTCTCTGGTGGGTACCTTATAGCCACTCCTCTGGTTTATCAGGATAAGGGTGGTGACTGTGGGGCAGGAATGGAGGTGGCCTGAGGTCTCTTAGGACTCCCTTCCTTGGAAGGGGCCACCCCTCCTTTTACCCTGGGTCTCAGATCCCCAGCCTTTGGCGATCTGGCCACTTTAGTTTGTGCACAAATTTTAACCATTTAATTTTATTTATTTATTTATTTTGAGCCAAGAGTCTCAAGATGTCACCCTGGTTAGAGTGCAATGACATCATAGCTCACAGCAACCTCTGACTCTTGGGCTCAATTGAACCTCTTGCTTCAGTTTTTCTATTTTTAGTAAAGACAGGGTCTTGCTTTTGCTCAAGCTGGTCTCAAATTCATGAGCTCAAGCAATCCACCCAGCTTGGCCTCCTAGTGTGCTAGGATTACAGGCGTGAGCCACCGTGCCCAACCTAACCATTTTATTTTTAAAGAATATTTTTAAAATTCCATTTGAGTAACCTCCTCCCCAGCTGGTTCTGAGTGAAGTGGCCAGTACAGATGTGGGTGGATCTAAAAAGGCTTTGCAAAGTCCTCTCCCATCTGCTTATAAAATGTGT